CTATTTTTGCTATTTTTTCTTGTAATCATTCTTTAAATCATTAAACCAATTTTTAAATTCCAAAAAAACTTTTAAGAACTAAAAAAACTAATCCCTTTATCATTGCAAAAAACTAAAAGTAAAAAGATCTGAAACTAATGTCTGCTATTTGCTGATTACTAAATCTCATACTTAATAGGCACTAGTGACTTTTAGAAAATCTTTAACACTGTCATTAACAATCTAATATTCCATTTATTGTACATGGATCTGACTCCATGTCATGAATCACTTCTCTCAAAAATACAACAGAATAATTTGCAAAAGAACTTTTCCCTAATTCATCTCTTGAATCTAATGACCACTGCATATCTTTGAGATGTGTAGGAAGTGCGTGGTCACACTTTCTACACATCTCAGACAAAAAGGTTAATTCATTCTCAAACATCCAAATAAGCCAAACTTCTGTTCATAAAGTTATTTCTCATTATTTAAACTCTTTTACACTTCTTAAACAACTTTTTAAGCCTACTATCAACTGTTTTGTTTCTCTTTAATTCTCTTGCTTGCTTTTTGTTTACTCCCAACTTCGATGGTTGAAGACTTGTTGATTGTGAACTTACTTAAAAAAAGGTAACAAACAGGTACAAAGGGCAACTAAAGATTTTAGGCTTTTGAAAGAAAACTTGAAAAAAAATAGAAATGTAAAAAAAAGTAAATACTAATTTATATCTGGAGCATATAAGGTAATTTAGTTCCAAAAAATAATAAAAATAGCATTGTCTTTAAAAAAAATGTTAACCAATATACAAAAACTAGTGAAAATAAAAATTTACAAACAGTAAATTTATATTTTCAAATAGTCTAATAGATTATTATTAAAAAAAAAAAATTTTTACTAATAATATATTTAAAAACTTTATAAAATTTATGCGATTATGCGCCTATTTTGAATTGTAGTTTCCTAATTCATATCTTCGCATATTGATGAATGACAAAAGACACTTGTCCAGTAAAGGTATAAAGCAAAAAAAATTATAAGATTTTCAAATAACCATGTCATAGAGTGATGAGCTTTTATATTTCAAAAAAAATTTTGTTTATTTTAAATGCCTAATCAAGTCCAATAAATTGTATAAGGCATTACAAGTTCAGTTAGTACACAACATTAGTAATGTCAAACAAAATTCTTCTGCAACCAAAAAAACTAGAGTTGCATGGAAAAACAAAATAAAAAATGAAAAATGAAAAGCATGAAAAAAAAAGTAAAAGATTAAGTATGTCAAGAATCAAGTTAAAAAATTTTTAAAGGACTTTAAGAAATTTTGAATAAATATAATATATGGGGATCTATAAAAATGATTATGACAGACACTAAAATATTAACACTGAATAAACAAGTAGTATGATAAAGAGATTAATGACACATTTTAAAAGTGTTGGCTTTGAGAAACTTCTCTACATTGATCGTCAGCACCATATATTAGATTGAATATTAAAGTCAAGTCGGGATGATTTTTATGGAGGTAGTATCAATTCACCTGACTGATTATTTTGTTTCAAAGTAATATGTAGTTATTATGATTATTTAGGATGGAATTTTGACAATAGTAGTATATAATTGAAAGAGAATGAACTAAAATGGAGAGATTATATGCAGTTTTTGATGGGTCTCATTAACATAGTGAAATACTTTTGGAATGAAAAGAAATATCCAAAGCTTAATTTTAAAAGTTAACGAAATATTAGCCAAGCTAGATGGAACTCTCCGGCAATTTATTTACTACTTGCTTAGATACAAATTTCTTTAGACAGACAATGACTTGAGATAGCATTTAGGCTTGTTGCTGGAAATGGGAAGATATCTGGTTTTCAAACAAAATGTTAAACACTGAAAATGGTAAAGAATTAGAGAAAGTTCTTAAAGATCATCCAAAGGCTATCAATACATTCACAAAGTTTTGGTGTGATATTATTTCACTTATAAATATGCAAAGATCCAACATTTGTTCCAAAAAAGCAGTAAAATTTGTAGAGGATATCAAAAGTCTTTGCAAATCTGAATAAATTTTGTATTTGAAATACTTATTAGGAAATCACAGTTAAAGCGAATGCAAACCTTTTTAATTAATATAGTTTTATCAATATTGTTTTTTAAACATTTTGATGTTTTAATAATTTTATCAATATTTTTTTAATGTGATATATATCTTTTTTTATGTGATATATATCTTAATTAGTTATTCTAATTTAACTTATTCTTTTAGGACAAATAGAAAATATTTTAAATCAAATTACCAGTAAAAAGACTCTAGGCATATTTGCTATGTAAATAACAGCTTTTGGCTCAGCTTTCTAGTGGATCATTGCGTGAGGTTTTTTCTAGAAACACGATAATGAAACTGATTACTGGTAATTATATACAAAAGCTCATCAGAATATAACATGCTCATTGTAAAAATATTTTCCCCTATTGTCCACACTTGACAGTTTCAAGAAAATAGGTTTTCGAAGTTTGAAGTCCTCAATTAATTAACTAAAAATTATTTCAGAGGGTCATTAATGTAATCTAACTTTTCTTTTTTTTTTAAATAAATAATTGATAAATAATTAAATACTTTTAATGTCATTAATTATTTGCAATAATATGGTCAAAATGTCAAGTAGCATTTTTTATATAGTATGTCTTTTGTGCTATAAACTTTTGATAAATAAAATATCCTCATATAATAGTATATAATGTAATTCATATAATGTAAGAAATAGAAATAAAAAGTACAAAAAAAAAAAAGTACATTTCTAGGTTTTTTTTAGGTATTTGAAATAACACGAGGCAATTTACAAGAATGACTTTAAATCAAACTTTAAATGAGAGCTTAGAAACAAAAAACTCTAACATGTCACAATATATGAGAGCAATAAGCTTCAAAACATTTTTTAGCCAGATTTGATTAACAAAGTTATTAAAAACTTAGAACAAAAATAGTTTACTGTCAATTTGTTTTTAATCAAGTCCTCAAAATTGTCTCCAATCAAGTTCTCCACAACTTTTAGATTGATTTTATTTATTTTTTTAAATTCAAAACAAACATTTAATCAAAAACAAAACAAAAATAACAAATTTTTTACTAAAATAAAACTAATATAAAAAGAATAATAAAAATTTTTATATATTTTTTTAGTTTGTTTTTAAAATAAACTCTCAAAGTCTTTCTCTGCATTTTCAAATCTAATGTAGGTAAAAAAAAAAATCAAAATATTACACCATAAAAAAATATAATTAGCTTTAATTTTGTTTTAAGGCTCTAACTTCCATAGTTTATTTTCAAGGCATCAACAAGTATACAAAAAAAACCTTATAACAGAATTTTATAATTTTTTAATTTTTTTTTTTTTTTTTTTTAAAAAAAGTTTCATTATCTCAGAAAAATATTTTTTTATTCAGAAAAACAATTTGTCATATTTTCATCACATGACATTTTATGTAATAATTAAATATTAAATTCACAATAAAACCTTTTTTTTAGAGAACTTTGAATTGAATATTTCCCAATGATTTCTGATTGGTCTACAACAAATATATAATATGATTTGTTACACTCAATGATATGATCGGATTTTATTTCAATCAGATATTATCTACTTTCTTTCAATACTTCACTTCATAAATAAAAAAACAAATCTTTATTAAATAATGCATAAATGTTTAAAAATCACTTCATAAAAAAAAATAATTACAAATAAAACCTCACTTTCTTTTTGTGTGAAGCAAATAGCAAATACAAGTTAGTCAATAGCTTTTTACATATTTAATATTTAATTTCAAAATAAAAGTTTAATGATTTGTGAACTTCTTTAAAATATTTTTTATTGTTTTAATTTTGTCCCAAAATATAAAAGTTTCCTTATTTATTATTCTAATTTGTATGACAAAAAAAACTTTCATTTTATACTTGTATTACAAAAAATATTTTCATTTGTTTATAATACACCCCGAAAATGGGTAAAAATTAGTTTTATTGTAGAATAACTTAAAACAATAGTAACATACTTAACCTTTTTAAAATAAAAAGGTTAAGTATGTTACTACTTAAATTAAAATAATTTCAATTAAAATAATTCATTAACTAAATTAAAAATAACAAATTTAAGATAAGTTAAAAATGTAAGGGTCACACTCTCTAAGAGCGAACTTTTAAGTTATCCTGTAGTATAAGTTTATCTTTTATAAATGTATCCATAGGGAAATTATAAATTCCTTTATGAGCTTATAAATTTTGGTAAAACATTGTATTTAAATTATTTTTTCATAAAATAGTTTACTTTCAGTTATACGCAACATGAGCATGTTTTAAAGAAATAATTACATTTAACAAGTTTTTTCTTTTTTTGAAAAAATTGATAGTTACAGTAAAAAAATACAACTTTGTTGAATGTTGAGTCAAACAATATTGAGTTTTAGTTAATGGAACAAAATATGAAAGTTTGGCTAGCCAGCAACCATGGTAGTATTTGTATAAAAAGAGAAAGAGATGCAATTTTAGGACCATGAGAGATGTTGTAATTGGCAGCTTAAGCAGGTCCAACTACAAATACAATGCGTTTTTAGACTTTGTCTAAAAATGAATAACGATCATTATGAAAACATAAAATAAGTATAAAAACCAGTCTAAATATGACAACAATATTCAACACAAGGACAAATAAAAGATTTATGAAGTTATAGAATGAAATCAAAAGTATGAAAAAGGCAAGTACAATAAAGAGCATATAAAACATATGAAAAAACCTCTATAGGAATATGTAATTTATAAAACAGATCCAAACCTCATATGCTAACATCGTTATTTTTAAGTGTATGAAAAAAGTCAGCAAAGTACTAACCTTCTACATAAGGTCTATTAATGAACTCATAAAAAGTATAAAACACATTAATTAAAGTACAAAAAAAAAAGTTAAATAAGTTATTGATGTTATTATCATAATCATTTTTATTACAAAACTATTTTTTAATTACTTACTACAGGCACAACATTCTCTGTTGATTTGCTTGTAAGACTAGTAACTAAGTGTGTTAGTGTGAACAGTACACCACAAAATATTGAAACACGAATTTCCAAAGGTAGCATAACATAAGTCATGTAAATAAAAAATATTGTAGAGGCTAGTGGTCCAGACATTGATTTTGGCAAAAATAACAAATTAAAAACAATATCTAAACAGTTTAGAATTACCAAAATGTATGAAACTGCCATTAGGAGTTTACCTGATGAATCCATCCAGTTTATTAAGCTTAATAAAACTACAAGCACTAAAACTTTAGCTATAAGATAAATACCATGACTGTATGTGTATGGTGTCTCTCTTATCTTAAACGAGAAGTTAATTCCTATGTCAACAAGAGCAACAGAAATAAGTATAATTAAAAACCAGTTCATGTAGTTTTGATTTAAATGAAAAAAATATTTTTTGTATAATGTAGCAATTCTTTCTGAAGGAAAGGAAACTGATTTAAGAAAGTTATTATTTGAAAAAATTGGTGTTTTT